TACGGTGTCAATCTGATACTTAAAAGAATAATTAAAGCATGCATCTCAAATTATTAAGTATTTGCTTCACATACATAGTCTTGAATTAGAATCGGTAGACCTGTGATTGCAACACCATGAGCAATATACTCAATTTTCATAACAATCGGAGAAAATTTAACCTTTAGATTTATACTCGGAACCACTATTTCCTCCTCCCTTCCGTCCTCCTTTGTCTAGTCTTCGTCTCTCCTTTTCTTCTTCTTCTTTTTTTTTTTTTTATCTATTCCCCTTGTCCGGTTTGATCTTCCACCATCAAGCAACACCCCCCCCCCCCCCCCCCCCCCCNATGTATTAAACTAGAACCCAAACTTTTATATAATAATTTAGATTACCCAAAAATATTTTCCTTATTAAAAATATTCATCTGGATCTCACAAGCCATGTGAACTTCTACGTCGTCAAGGATTCTGTACTTGGTTCTAAAAGATGGAATTTCAAGAGCAGCAAGAGGATACATTTGAGAAAGACAACAGAAAGATCCCAGTAACGGAGCAAGAAACAAAAGAAATAAGTTCAGACAAGGAGAAGGAGGCCAATGAAAGATACTCAAAAACCCCCCCTTTTAAAGGAGGTAAATAAGCATCAAAGGAAGAAGCGTTTGAATACCAATGATGGAAGCATTAAATGAAAAGTACAATGTCAAACTAATGCAAGAATGATGGATGGCTTGAAAAGTCAGGTAATCATCAACAGTGGTATATGAAACGATCGCCAATTACATTTCACCTGACGTACGTTTCCTAAGGGCAGGTGAAGGGACAAGAAGTTATGACCGCGTGTCTTACAATAATAATACACGTACACGACTAAGACACTCGTGTATTAAAGATGCTAACGGTTCAATATAAGACCAAGCTAGCTAAGGTCGGGTTAAAAATAAAGGACCATCTGTTAGGCATGCTCGATTTACTAGACATGCATAATCGATTAGGCCGAGCTTGATAAAACAGCTCGGCCATGCAATGGTTTGTTCGGTTAACTAGGTTGAGTAACGTTAAACAACTCGGTCCAAGTTATAGTAAACTACATATCATTCAAAAAATAGATTGGACAGGATAAAGAATTTGCTAAAGTCATGGCAAATCATCACCAGCAATCCAAAAGAATTAGTTAATTGTCGAGCATTAGAAAAATTTCGATAGAGTGTAACCGAAAGTCTGGCATGATAAGAGGTGTACCACCTCACCTTGTAAACAAAAAGAATTCGAACCCTAAGGGAAAATAGGTGAAGAATCTATAAAAAAAAACTAAGGAGGTTCAAGAAAGGTACACACAATTCTCTTTGCAAATTCCTTCGTCTCTATCTAGTACTAACTTAAGTATTTGAGTGTATTCGATCAGTCTACTCCGATCCTAGACAGTTTATTCGTCTTGTAGGAGAATTGCACAACATACAACCGTGTTCAAAACTATTTCGCATCATCTCATAAGAGATAATCTTTTTATCGCTTACACCACTGAACTTTCTTTTATGGTGAATCGTATTTTACTCTTTGAGAGATTTAAAATCTTTCACTTCACACTCTTAAAAATTAAATTTACAATATATTACCCTCAATATAGTAAAAATGTTGTAATATACCCCAAATTTCTGTTGCTCATTTCATCAAAAATTAATTTATTGACCTTAACAAAATGAGCAACAAAACTTAAAATAAAGTCACATTATAATAATTTTAATACATTAATAGTATATTGTGAAAATTTTAATCACCCTTTTTATAATGCGAAGTACAATTCAGTGAATTCACCTTTCTTTTTCTTTTTTTTGGGGTTAAATACCAATTACTTTCCGACCACAAATAGTAAAGCATTATTTGTCATCTAGAGATCATCCCTAACCCGCTCCGGCCAATTAATGTCGGTCAACCTGGGTGGTGATAGGCCCTAACTAATCAGCCGGCCGTACCAAAAATGTTTAAAAAAAAAAAAAAAAGGAGTCGGTTGTGGGAGTCTACAAAGGGACACACGTCGGCATTGGAAACGTCAAAGTCGTCCCTCTCAGTACACGACGCGTGTTGATAACATTTTTAATAATGGTCCAGCTGTCATTTAACGTAAGGAATCCAAGGTTTATTCTTTAATATTTTTGTCCTTGCTTTTTGGTGTAAATTACAAATCTACCTCTCATCTCACGTGTATATGACCATCTTTTCACACATCACGTGCATTATGTACGACTTTACAAATTAAAAAAACATGAGCAATGCTATTGGAATATTTGGATTAATTGTGGACCCATCAAATATTAGAATTTAGTGTTGATTTAATAGTTTTATTGAAATTATATCATTATATTAATAAATTAAATTAAACTCTTAAAACCAAATAGTATTACTCAAAAAAAAAAAAAAAATTTGATTGCATGGATGATTGTCAGCAACTTGCTGGAAATACCCCTGAAACTGAAAGTGTACAAAATAATTGGTCAAAAGCTTGTATTCTAGCGTGACCCGTATACTAGTTAAGACAGGATAATTTGTACTACACTTGGTCAAAAGTTTTTATTCTAACCCATCTGAAACGTTCTTACTTCTTATCCAACAACCCAAAAATGTTACATGAATTTGATGATGAAAATTAGGAGCAATGAAAAATAAAATAGATAAATTTTTTATTATCTAAGGAAAGAAAATAGAAATGATTCATTTTATTTTCTTTATGTTTTTGTAAGATAAATAGAAATGATCTATTTTTTTTCCTTTGTATTTTTGTAGGATCGATGAAAAATAAAAATAATTATTTTTTTTGTGCTTGGTAAGAAGAAAAAAATTATTTTTTATTTTTATTTTTTTAAAAAAATTATAAATACATATTTTATTATTATATTTATATATGAAATTAATGTATCCATAATATATGTATATATCAAATGATGTACAAACAAATAAGATACATTTCAATACAAATAATTAACTTTTCATTCATTTTTCTTCCAATTTTGGAGAGATTCATCTATCTACTTTTCCATCGTTCATATTTTACTTCCTTACCAACACATAATATTTTATCTATCCATCCAACTTTTTATCTTTTTATTTTTTATTGTACCAAACATAACATTAATCTTTTTTATTATACTTATTAAATTGGTGACAAATCTCAATCAATAGTAAAGTTTGTTTTCAATCCAATGATAGAGAATAATTTATCCCTAAATTCGCTATAAATTTTCAGTTTTATAACAGATACTCAAGCGGTATGAGATTTTTCAACTAATAAAAGAAATAATCTCAAAGGTCACAAAATAAAATGGTATAATCAGTTTTACAGTATGTAGTTTTGAAGATAAACATATAAACAGAATTAACAATTTTATTGCTCATTATCTTAACAGGGAATAAAATTGAAGGATATTAAACAAATGGTATAATTGATTAGCACTAACCTAAGAATTACTAATTATATCTAATAAATATGTTGTAAGTCACGGTAAAAGGGAAAAATCCTTGCATAACAGTCAAAAAACACAATTTTGGATTCAAATAGTCAAAGGAACACAAATGGACTGGAATGAAAAGAAAAATTATGAAAAAATAACTTTTTTTTTATAAATTACAATTTTCAGCTAATCTTTTTAATGTTTGATTCTACTTTCTGTTAGAATGCTTTTTTGAATTCTATTCTGGTCTACATAATTTTATTTTGTGTCCGTACAGGAAAGTATTACTTTATTCATTTCCAGTTCAAAAATACAATCAAGTCTTACCCATTGATTCATTGAGATTTTTTTGTGGGAGAGAGAGGTGGACAAGCAAGGTATTAATACTAGTTGAATTCTTTGATCACACCATTCAAATAACCACAACAATGAGGATAGACTTTCTTGATTGATGGAGTGGTTGCTTGTGGCACATAGAATGAAGTGGTTGATGAATTCCAAGTATATCTATTTTTTATGGTGAATTGAGAATAGGTTGAACAACTTATAAAAAATATATATATTTAGATAGATATAAAAAAGAGATATAATTTTAATTAAATAGTAACTACGGAGAGTATTTTAAACAATAAAGATTAAAATAAAATTATTTCCAAATAAAATTTTGAATAAATTTAAGTCTAAATAAATCTTGAAAAGGATATTGACCTCTAAATTTCTCTTTCAAATAACTCGATCACAACCCTATTTTTTTTTGGGTTTAGACGAGAGTTAGACTAGGGTAAACTTGCCAAAGTTGCACTCGGACTATTCCTTACACATAAAGCAAATAGGCATCGTGAGATGGCAATATGGTAATTTGGGAGAAGTACATGGTGTAATAGCGAATGAAGCGGCTAGATATCTTCATGAGTCATGGGGTGTGTCTCACACGTCAGAAACTGCCATACAGGGTATTCTTTGCAGCTGCTTTGATGGGGGAATTTCCTAACACTAAGGAAACCCCATCACCCTACGCGCTTCAACAATGACGTGCACGCCACCACTTTTAATTTTCAATTCTAAATTAAAATTGAAATTTAGAATTTAAATTTAGTAGTAGCGATTTAGAATAATGAATAAATATATATATTAGACTCTTTAAATAAATTAATTAATATAAATCTAACATGATACAAATATAATTATACATTATTATAAATGGGTCAAATAATATTTTAACATGAATTAAACTCTTGCTTAGCAATAAAGATCATCTTCAATATATACTTTCTAATTTTTTTCTTTGAAAAATCACGTATTATTAATTAGGAAAAATTACTTACATATAATGAATCTTATTTAAATGTATGATAAATAATTTTTTTTAAAAATTAAATAAAAAATATATTAGAGATGCCTCTCCCGAATAAGACCCCTATATTGGACAGAAAAAACAGTAGGGATCAACACGCGTTTTGAATGAGAGTGGATTACCACAATCCTCTCCCACGTCGCCACGCTATGCACCGCCTTCCCTTCCCTATCCTATATAACCCCATTCCATTTCCCATTCAGATTTACATTTCAATTTCAATTCTGTTTCCACCAAGCTTTCGTTTCCCAACACTTTTTTCCTCCTTCCGTTCCCCTTTCTAGAATTCTTCCCCAATTCCTCGTATGTTGTTGATATTGTTATTTTAACATATCTAATTTTCTACCTTTTTCCTAGTAATCTTATTTTTCTTTTCCCTTTCGTTAGAACCCTAATGCATCTCTCTAATTCATCTTCCATGGGAGGAGTTGTAGTTCTTCAACCCCAAGATTTGTTCAACGAGCGACTGCCTCGTTCAAATTTAATTAATTCTCCTAATTTTGGTTCTATCAATTCTCGCCGAAACCCAAATTCCAATTCTAACCCTAACCCCACTTTCATTTATAACCATAAGCCTACCACCATTTCTGAGAGATCGTCGAATCGATCTCGAAAACGGAGTCCACTTACCAAGAGTGGCACCACCACCATGACGGCCGTGGCTGTCAATCAGAAACCCAGAAATGCCCTTGTCATGGAGCAAGTGCAGATACTAAAACGCGGGGAAGCCTTGGACCAGACGGTAAAGAAGGCGGCAAGGACTCCAATAAAAGGGGAGAAGTGTTTGCAGACCAAAGATTTGGATGATTTTGTGTTGGCCTCGACGGATCGTTTGGTTCCGGAGCCTGGTACGGTACCCAAACAGATCAACGTCCCTGGTTTTTATGCTGGATCGGCGTTTATTGAGTCGCCACCGCCGAGCTCATTACCTGTACCGGCTTTTTTCAAGAAAAGGAGTGTTTTGGCTGAGAAAAATGATGCCACCAGTGATTTGCGTCGAATTCTTGGACTTGATTTGGTTTGAATTGCACGGCCAGCTGTTGGATTGTGCATGCCTGTTGATGTTTGGTTGCTCCAATTTTAGAAAAATTCCCTTATTTTTTCATGGGAAGGTTCGAATTGGTAGAGCAGATTATCGATTTTTCATTGCATAGAGTTTCAGTCAGAGTATAGGGGTATAAAGTATTTCCTCTAAACAAATATGGGTTAAGTTTAGTTTGTATTTCTGCGATATGTGATTAGGTTTTCATTATGTAATTTAATAACTTTTACAAGTAGATTGGTGATGTGCGTCTTTAGCTTTTAATATATGTCTACAAGTATGAGTTTTTCAGTTATGAATAATTCTCTTTTGGATTGAATTTTGATGGGTTTTGTTGATCATTACTCTACTAATGAGATATTTGATTGATTGAGCACTCATTCATGGGCTAAAACGATGATGCTTATTGTCAAGAAATTATTATGATGATGAAAGTCAAAAGTGATCTAATTTCTGGTGAGGGATGGTAAGAGGTGGTTAAGCGAACACAAATCTCCACGGGTACAAAGCAGATTCTCAGTTTTTGTGGATGAATTTTTTAAAATTCGATGATTTATGCAGAAGGGAGAAAGGAGTTCCGTTAAGGAGGGTGGTTTGCTCAATGTAGAGCCATTAAGGAGGGTTCTGTAGTTGGTACAATTTGTATGGAGGGTTTTGTACTTGTAATTGATGGTTCCGTTTCTGTACTTGGTACAATTTGTATGGAGGGTTCTGTACATAACCCTGGTTTAACATTGACTTTTAAATCATCCACTATATATCATGATAAATTATTGGTTAATTATAGACTTTTGTTCAATTTTGCATATTAAATTAGAGCAAAAATTGGATTCTACAGAGATGAGATTAGAAAAACTACATGTTCTGGCATGGTGGGATACCATCTTTTGAAAAATTGAGTTAAAATTGGAGCAGTGTGAAACTCAAGTCAATAATTTACAGTGCAAATAAGAAAAAATAGTTGAGGTGGTAAACGTGAACGAAATGGATAATTCTAAGATTCTATGTGTAACAATATGCCCATTTGTTAATGTGTTGTAAGACGCCTAGTTAACATAGGCCTTTTGATTCTGGAAACCTTTTATGAAATAGTTGCAAAAATGAAGTTTGATTGTTGCTTTGATCGTGGCCTTGTTCATTTGCTTTATTCACTTCTTCACATGTGAGAATATGGCTTCTTTTTTTTTTAATTTAGTTGGTCGATGGTTCACCTTTTTCACTTGGTTTGTGATTCTTTTTTGATTATCTATCCTCTGTTTGATACGATAAAAAAAAAAATGAAAAATTAGAAGGATAAAAAGTTGAACGGATAAATAAAATATCATATATGGTAAGGAAGGAAAATAAGAAGGATAAAAAAGTTGATAGATTGACTTTCCTTCCAACTTATCAAAATTAATCCCTCCAAAATCGGAAGAAAAATTGGTAAAAAGTTAATTATTTATGTTGAGATATATTTTATTTGTCTATATATTATGTATACATTAATTTCATATAAAAATACAATGATAATATATATATATATTAAATTAAAAAAAATATTATTTTCATTTTAACTATGGGTGAAAATTTTCGATTTAACACGATAACACGACTCGAACTTAACACGAACTTGAAAATGACCTAACACACGAACAAGAAATATAAACAACTCATAATTTTATGATTTAACACAAATTTGACACGACACGACTCGATTGTCACCCCTAATATTAGACAAATTTTTTTTTTTAAATGATAATTTTTATTGTTCATCAATCTAACCAAACATAAAGGAAAAAAAATGTATCATTCTTACTTTTCATTCTTGAAGGATAAAAAATATATCCCTCATACTTTTTATCCTTCTTATTTTTTATCTTTTATGCCAAACGGAAGATTAAAGTTAACTACTAGCTTGGAAAAAGATTGGTGTGGCTATCAGGATTTGGCTCTTGTTCTCCGTGTACCTGCTAAATTGGTAAAGTATTTACTTATGGGGAAAGAATAACTGGTAAAGTAGGTCCAAATAACACTACGCATCTCCTGGTATTTTAAATCTGTTAACACGTATTCATGTTCAATAATACGAATACATATTTGTTTTTATTTATTTATTTTTTTTTAGGAGGGGGAGGGATAAGGAAAAAAGAGGCTTGAACCCTTGACATCAAGAGTACAAAACTTTCACAAAAGAAAGAGTACCATTGGACCTAGAGGTGTTCAAAATTTTGATTGATCGCAATTTTCTACCCTACCTGACTTTACCCTACCCTACTAAACGGCTAGCTATAAACATCAAGTAAGAATGCAAAAAAAATTTTGGTCTTTCGATTAAATCGGGTAGGAATGCGAAATACCCATCAATTTCCGCATTCTTACCTTACCCTATCCGTAAAAAATATATTTAACTTTTTTATATTTTTTTAGTAATTATAAGAGTATTTTTGTGGTATAATTTATATTATAACATTATTATTGTTGTGGATATTTGAGTTGTTAAAATATGGACTTGTTTTTTTATGTAGGTTACATGATTTGTGGTAAACTAATAATTTATTGGAGCAGTGTTGATTTTAATGTGTTTCATATGGTTTAAACTTAAAATAATTGTTATTGTATTTGTGTAATAATTATGATGGATTGATGTTCATATTTTCTTGTGTTTTATTGTAATTGTTGTTGTAGTAGTTTTAGGTTTTAGTGTTATTGATTTATTGTGTTGTTAAATTGGTGCATGTTATTTAATTGAATTATTAAAATGATTCAAAAATTAAGAGATACGAAAATGTTTACCCGATTTTTTACTTGATTAATCGGGTAGGAATACCACACTTGATCAGGTAGGATAAGTCAAGAAAAATTTTTTCCACAAAATATCGGATAGGAAGACGAAAGACTAAATTTCTTACCCATAGGGTAGGGTGAACANCGGGTAGGATAAGTCAAGAAAAAATTCTTCCACAAAATATCGAATAGGAAGACGAAAGACTAAATTTCTTACCCATAGGGTAGGGTGAACACCCCTAATTGGACCAAAGACCTATTGATATACATATTTTGTAACCAAATAGATTTGAATATGATTTGATTGATTTTCTATGAAGGAGAAGTATGAATAGTCTAAAATCAAAATAAGATGGGTTTATACCGTGCCAGTCAATGGTAGAAAAAATTAAGTGTGGAATTTAGGCCCAGATATAAATAAGATCTCAAATTTAAGAGGTTGATAATATAATTTTAACAAAAAATAAACCAACAAAAATAATTTTAAAATTTGGGCTCAAATGTCTAATTCACTTCATATGATCTCATTTGTTGAAGGACAAAAAAATTAGCAAGAAAGTCTGATACCATCAATTTTTTTCTGATTTTATCCTATAATAAATAATATAATAAGCATCAATCTTTTTCTCTCTTGTATAAAAACAAAAAAAGCCTCAATACATTTTTCTCAAACTCGATTTTGTTATCATTTAAAACACAAAACACTAATAAAATTAATCATTCTCATAAAAGATTCAAAATAAAAATTAATTTAAAATTTCAGAATTTAATAAAAATTAAAAAAAAAAAATTCATTAACACTCATCGCTTAAGGCCTCACATGTTCTTGAGCCGCTCCTTATTTTGTATATTATATAGAGCACTAACAATTTTTTATCGTCACATGTAAAATTTATTTTTATTTTTATTATGTTTATGAACTATGAATATAAATAAACTTTGCTTATCATAGAATTGAGCAAAAGAATTTTATCAACTCTTACGGTTGGTAAAGTGGTGGAGTTCAACTTTTAGTAATGCTGATGTTTTAGGTTCAATTTGTTTCCATGCTTCTTAATGGCTAGCCACTTTTTTCTTTTTAAGGATATACTCTAACCCAACTTAAACCACTGTGGCTAGCTTCCAAGTTTGAGAGAATAGTTAGAGCAAGTCTTTACACCTTATAACCTAAAAAAAAAAAAAAGTTGTAATTAGACAAGTCCCTCATACCTAATTTTGTGTTAATAAATTCAAGCAACGGCTTTGTGGGTGCTAAAAATCAATTCCATTCAGAAAGACAAATTTATCCTAAGAAACGTTCGCTATTGTTGAAAATTTAGCATATTATCAAATTTATTCATTAAAATTTTTTAAATGGGTCACATGAGACACCCAGTGTTGCTCGTTAATTCTACTATACAAAATTTTGTTGTTTTGTTATTTTTTTGATTGAAACAATCTTGAACTTCATTAAGACAACAAATTTACATCATGTTGGAGGAGAGATGTCAAGAATACAAGAGACTCCCCCCCTCCATAACATAGGATCCATACAATTTCTCTCAAATTTTGAAAGGCTATTAGCAACCTCAATGCCTTTTCTATGAACCCATGACACAGAAAACTCCGAAAGACACAGAAAATCCCTGAATTTGATCAACAAATTTACCAACTTCAGAGTAATTTGTAGCTCCACATCATATTGCATCTATGATCTGTTAAGAGTCAACTTCTAACACAACTGAATCATATCCAGCCTCAGCAACCAACTTGATTGAAATAGCCACTGCCATAGCCTCAACATACTCGGGTTTGAGCAAACCAACGATATGATCAACACGAGTAATGATCATATTATGATTTAACCGAGGAGTAGAATTGAATTGCCAACACTGATTGAGATATGAACGAGCAAACTTAGCAATTTGGTCAGCAAAATTAGAAGGTTATTCGAATCTGACCTTACTCCTTATAAAGAATTATAAGCAGAGATGTTTTAAAAACTATTGTTTCATTGGATGATTTGAAGTACATCACATATACACTTTATATAGAAGTGTAGTCTAACTAATCTAATATATTTACTCCTATTTGTTATAGGGAATGAGTCTTCAAATATAACAACTAGTTTTTGTTAGACATTTGAGCAGGCCTAGGATGAAACTGCTCCTCCTTATCCAGTGCAACTGACTCCTCATTCAAAGCAGCTGACTTAGTCAGTTGAACTACATCTGGATNTAAAATTGCTCCTCCTTATCCAGTGCAACTGACTCCTCATTCAAAGCAGCTGACTTAGTCAGTTGAACTACATCTGGATGAAGCTTCTCCTCCTTATCTAGTGCAACTAACTCCTCATTCAAAGCAGCTAACTTGGTCAGCTGAACTACATCTAATTCAATACGCCCCTGCAATCGCATGGGAAGTTCCTGGACATGAAGATTGTGTTTTAAAGCATGAAACTGGACATTGCTGAGGGGCTTGGTTAGTAGATTAGCTAATTGATCGTTGGATGAAAGAAAACACACTTGTAACTTCTTTTGCAGAACTTGATCTCGAACATGATGAAAATTGTTTTCTATATGTTTAGTCCTTGCGTGGAAGACTAGATTGGAGCTTCGGTATGTAGCTCCTATGTTTGGTGGTTGCAGCAATGGCAGGCCAAGATCATACAAGATAGATTGTAACCATTGCAATTCTACTGCTGTGTTCGAGAAGGCTTTGTATTTTGCCTTGGTGCTGCTACGTGCAACTGTCTGTTGTTGCTTGCAGCTCCAAGTAATCAAATTCTGTCCATGGAAGACACAATAAGCACCTACAGAGCGACGATCATCTTTATTTGAAGCCCAGTTAGCATCGGAGAACCCTTGAAGAGCATGAATTTTATTGGTAGTGAACTGTACACCGTGGAAAATTGTATGCTTGAGGTACCGTAG